GAGGGGCACACTTGCGGTTGACAGTATTATTGTTATAATGATCAGGACGTCGGTCAAGGGTGTACATCATTTGCCTTTGCTTTTACATCCGGTCTTAGTAGGCCAGAGTTACCAGTTGAAGAAGTATTCAACGGGAGGATCGAGGCTGAAAGATGACGAAAGCAAGCCTACGGGAACACCGTAGTTACAGTAGCGTATCTGATGCATCAGTATCTCAGTTAGAGATATCAGAATCAATGTCTCATGGCTCTTGCCTGCAAGTAGGAGGTAGCTAACTGTGTTGTTCTCCATCTTGGTAATTCCAACGAAGGTTAGCCTTACAGAGAGATACCAGCAGCAAAACGATTGTAATAGATGACAGATGGAACAACGCGGGATACCCAAGAACTGGCGAAATGCTAGCATAACAGACTTGTTCAGAAGGCGCTGCTATTGGACGTTTCCAGATGTGAAGTTGTGGGAGAAATGAGGCCTTCTGTCAAAGCCTCGAAACTTTGAGTTGTAAAGTAAGGTTCCTAGAGGGGTATAGTTAAGATGTAGGTAGCTTACATAGAACTAGAACCTATCTATTCGATCGTTCTTGTGCAAAGCTTGATACTAACTTGGACGTCTCGATGTCATTGTATGGCACGCTAACTGCAGACTATAGAATAAAAGACAAATCATGAAAGCACCATAAGATAAAAATTGGCACATTGTTATATGTTCAAGTGCTGAACAAACTTCATGATATGAAACTAGTAGCTTGCCAGTGAATTCATTTACAGAGTGATACCCGTTTATTGATCATGATGAGTGGGTAAAGAAGCCAGGAGGATTATAATAACCCTAGCCGTTGCTAACATTGCGAACCATGCCATTACTGGTCAGAAGTCAAATCAGAATGGACCCTAAATATGATCAGCTACGCGCTCACAGGTAACCATCTGCAGCGGTGATTAGGGGACGGCGCTTATATGAGCTCCACAGAGCGAAGAGATGACAGCTTCAACTATCTGTCTACGTAGTACACTGACAAATGCCTCGTAATCGAACCTGAGTTCTGTTCTTGTTTATGAGCAAACACCCAATATACAACTTGATCTTCCTGTGCCCGGGGTGAATTCAAGGCACCTTCTTCTGTCCTGATCTTGCTATTGGTCCGGTAGTCAGACTGATGATTTCCTAAACCGGCCAGTTGAAGAAACAAGGGTTGTCAGAATGCCGGTGGGAGAAGTATCGCGCTCTGAGTCAGTAAGTCCATATCGTGTAGTAATAAACTCAAACCGTCTGAGAGTTTACAACATGTGGTCGAAGTTTATTTTACAACGCTCCACCGTTGTGGCTCCCAGCCAAAAACGGCCCAACAGGCACAACCTTGGCATCTGCATTACCTGTCATGCGATATGGTGTTGTCTGCTCCGTACACGGAGACAAGTTATCAACACCAGGAATAATAGGTAGCGACGAGGGTCAAATGAACGGTTGTGGGTTCGTTGTTGTTCCTCCAATCCCAACATTTTTGCTCCTTACTCCTTACTCCTTGGCGGCAAATGGCGTTGGTGGAGGCAAAACTGTTCCAAGAATTCGTCATGAGCGTCCTCACTTTTTCGTTCAGCTGGAAAAAGCAAGTCTAGAAAAGCATAAAGAAGTCGATCTATTTCCAAGGAGAGGCATTTCGGCATGTCAAGGAATGCTGCATTGCGCGTTGATATAATAAAGTTGCGGCTTGTAGACTATCGGCCGAGTCTAACGAACGGCACGGCTGGGTAATATTGTACATCCTGTGAATGACCAGGTGAAAAGAAGAAAATGAAAGTCTCATTGCCCGTAAATGAAGAAACACCCTTTCCAATTGCGGTCCCAATAACTCATCGTACAGATAGACAATCTCTTTTTCGGGTGTAGGTAAGATCGGACCATGGTCCAAGCTCAAATCCTGATGGCTTGGCTGTAAGGGGTAGCGAGAAGACGACATCATTGATGGAGCCTTGGCGTTAAGTTCATTCTAGTACTGCTGCCGGTGTTGATGTGCTGTCTCGGCGTAGCTTGTTGTTGAGTCCGTTGAACAGACGGCCTATTGACTCCTTTCGTCCTCTTCGGGGAACTCTTTCTGTGACAAGCGAGTCGACGCGGTCCATGGCATCAATGAAGATGTGGAAGTCAACATCATCTTCGTAGCTGAGGTTCTCATCGCGTAGAGACATGTACTCCAACTCGTGATGGCTTAGAGTACTCTCATTTGATGCGGTTGATGAGGTTCTTCTCGATTTGATAGGGCTGCTGGCTGCACTGTTGGTCGGACTGGACATGATTGGTTGAAGGAGTGAAGTAGAAAATGTGTTTCAGATTGATTGTGTATGTAGATGGCTCGGAAACAACAGTAAATTGAAGATTAATAGTGGTATGAAGAATGAGTATGAAAGAAGAAAGTTAATTGAGCAGGGGGGGAGAGCTCTAGGTATATAAATTATACTTCGTTATACTTTTTATGGGGAGGGGTACGGAGTAGACTAGAATACGAATCTATCGAGGAGCCGCATATAATATGATGAAAGCTGACATGTTGTGCTTCCTCAGAGAGCGCAATGGCAAATCAGTCTAAGATTGTCAGCTTCGCTTCCTAAAGTAGTGCCAATCAGTTCCTTGCCCGCACCCAGGGGACGTGACGGGTTCCCGGACCACATGTAACGCTATCAACAGGCGCATTCCTCGGCACTGTCAGTTATCAGCCAGCGGTGTGCACCACCCATTTCCACACGTTGGGCGATGCTATCAAGTTAGCGCCTTGCGTGCGTATCTGATATGACACTATGGATGACGACTGCACCACCAAAATAGATGGGCGAGATATACGGGTTGGATTGGATGGATGCTAAAACCAGGTGATATTTCTAACAAATGACATTGGATCTTATACAGCTTGGGGTGAACATGGACCCTTTTATTTCTTCGGCTCCTCCTTCTTCTCCTCAGGCTTAGGCGTTGGCAGCTTGAAAGACTCGGGTGTGCGGTCCTGTCCGGCTCCAACGGGCTCCCACGCACTGGAACCACCCTCAAAGTTACGGAAGGCCTGAGTGAGCTCCAGAGGCTCGGTGACGATACGCTTCTTCTCCTCATCGTATCGGATCTCAGTGTAACCAGTCAAGGGGAAGTCCTTTCGCAGAGGGTGACCCTCGAAACCATAATCGGTCATGATTCGTCGGAGATCGGGGTGACCGGCAAAGAAGACACCGAAAAGGTCGTACACCTCTCGTTCGTACCAGTTGGCACCATCAAAAAGTCCGGTAACACTGGGGACAGGAGAAGCCTCATCGGCGTAGGTCTTGACACGAATTCGAGAGTTGTGACGGACCGAAAGAAGGTTGTAGACGATTTCGAAACGGTTCTCGCGCGTGGGGTAATCCGCAGCAGTGATAGTGCTAACCTGGGTGAACTCAGCGGCAGTGTTGTCTGTCATGTTTTAGCAGTTGTCTCATAGCCAATTGACGTGTTACTAACATTTCAAGAAGCTGAAGACAGGGTAGACACCCGAGGGGGAGATATAGATGGTGAGTTCGTCCTTCCAGACGGAGAACTGCTGGATGTACTTGGGCAGAGTACCCATCAACCAGGCACCATAACGGTGCATGTTGTCGGACTTGCTCTGGTATTTGTCGGCAGGGTTGACGATCGGGGCCTTCAGGACGCTGGGGTGATCTCGAGGGGCCTTTCGCAGGTTGGGAGACTCCTTCGGCATTGCGACATATTGACGGGCAGTGCTGGACAAGCAACGGATTGCCTGGTCGTTACGGAGCTGGACGGAGGGCCTCGCGGGTCGCAGAGCTGAGGCCAACGCCCTGCTTCGAGAAATGCTTGTCGCCATGGCCGTTTGTGTGACGATTCGAGGCCAATTGGCGATGCAAGATGTCGTCGAGACGAAATACCTTACGGTGTTGGTAATGATGCCGCAAGCATTGGCTCGAGAATCTTAGCGGCAGAAGCGTGAAGGAGATTTCCCGTACTTGAGCCGACAATAACGCTATACTTTGCCTCCAGTGCTTCTACCACACAAAGCCAGGTACCCTGCTATTTTACTTGCCCTTTGTCGACCTTCAATGACGAAGATGCCTACACGTGATTCGAGCTCTGAAGCTAGACCGAGAATAGCTTAGGTGTATTTTCCATCTTTCACTTTCCCGCAGCCTCGATGCATACCAAACACCGTTCCTCTCCTTGTACTCACATATCTATTTCCGCCCATCGCATCTCGAACTTACTATTTCTTGCCTTTCACCTTAATTATAACTTCTCACAATGGCGCCACAAGATTCATTCATAGAAGATGAGGAGGATACCTGGTATGATTCACCGCCCGCCTGGGGGTGGCGCTTGTAGCGCACTGCTCCTTGGGTAATGTTTGGTACCCAAAGCTGACCTCTAGATAGCCCCCTCTGCATCGAAGAGTTTGATCTCTCAGATAGGAACTTCAGACCTTGTCCTTGTGGATACCAGGTATGATAAGAAAAATATCTTGCCAGTCAAGGTTGACCTTCCGGCCACGTTTGCTAACTTTGAGGTTACAGGTGTGCCAGTTTTGTTTTAACAACATCAAGAATAATATGAACGGCCTTTGCCCTGCTTGCCGACGACCTTACGACGAAAAAACTATACAGTGGAAAGTCGTTACGCAAGAAGAGTATGATGAACCCTCTGCCACCATGGTGCTATGCTGACCAACCCCCAAGAGTCGCCGAGTTTCGGGCCAATATTCAAAAGAACCAAAAGAAACGAGCTCTGGATCAACGACAAAAAGAACTACAGAAACGCGAAGCCGAAAAGGAGAACCGTAAGAATCTGATCGGTGTCCGTGTTGTCCAAAAGAACTTGGTCTACATCACGGGTCTTGCACCGACAGTTCGAGAGGACGAACTTCTCAAGACGCTACGAAAGCCCGAGTTCTTCGGCCAGTACGGCAACATCCAAAAGATATCCATTAGTAACCGAAAGAGCTCTGATGGCCAACATCAGTCGCTTGGCATTTACGTGACCTTCGAACGTCCGGAAGAAGCGACGCGGTGCATCCAAGCTGTGCACGGATCCCACAACGGTGATCGAGTCCTAAAGGCGCAGCACGGCACGACGAAATACTGTTCAGCTTGGTTAAAGAATGAAAAATGCGGCAATCCTGGTTGCATGTTCTTGCATGAACAGGGCGATGAGGAGGACAGTTACTCACGACAGGACTTGTCCTCTATGAACAGTATAGGGTCTCAACGGCCTCTCCCCGGAGGCAGTTCGCGGTCGGCTTCCCGACAACAGATTTCCCATCCTACGCCGCCTCCCGTCGTATCTCATCCGATGACGCGCTCCATTAGTAAAGAGGGTTCTGAGAATGGTGCCGATGGATCAGCTCTACCTTCCTCAGCCAACTGGGCACGCAATCCACAGCGAAGTCGCAGAGGCAGTCTTGCTACTAGTGGTGCTGCATCCAGCCCTGCTATTTCAACAGCTCAGCCTGTCACCGCAGAGCCTGTACCAGAAGAAGCAGTCGAAGAGGAAGATGAGGATGAGTTGGAGGAAGAGGAACCTCAGCAAGAGGAGCCAGTTGCTGGGCCGTCATCATCTGGGACCCGGGAGTCTGAATCACCTGCACCAACTCAAGAGTCGCCTGATTCATGGCTTAAGGAGATCTACAAGACATTGCAAAGTTGCCCCATGCCTATCTTTCCAGACGTTGACGAAGACCAATACCCACCTATGTTCGATCCTCGTGGTGGCGAGAAGCGCCGGGCTATGCGAGAGGAGGAGGATTCACGTTTGAGTGGAGAACAGGAAGAGCGACCCGAGGTTCGTGAGCCATCGGAAGGAGAACCTGAGACCGGTGGCAGCCTTGCTCTCGGAGGAGAGCCTGAGGACCGTGACAGTTCTAGCGACAACCGAGGCTTCGATCGCCGACCTAGTGCTCAGCCTCCTATTCAGCGACTTTCTACTGACGGGCTCTTTGGACCTTCCCTCACTGGAGCCTCACCTTTTGGCCAGAGCTCGGGGAACCCTGGTTCGCGGTCTATGACGCCGCAGCAGCTGTATCTTCGATCTCAGGGCGGATTTGGCGATGCCCCTCCTGGCATAACCAGCCAAAGCAATGCTTTCCAGAATCAGGGTCAAAGCCAAGGTCAAGGCCACAACCGTCAATCCTCTCGATTCAGCTTTGCCAACGACAACGCTGGCTCTTCTACCAACGTCAAGGTCGCAGCCAACCCGCGTATCATGGCCCAGCAATCCTCTATGATGCCCAACACGTTTCAATCGCAGAGCAGCAATCAGTTTTACGGGGCCTCCATGCCTGGACCTCCTCCTGGTCTTAAGTCAACCGGCACTCCCCCTAGCATGTTCGGCCAGTTTGGTGGACAGGGCTTTGGCGCCCCCAAAGACAATTCGAGTGAGCTTCTTCAGAGTTTAATCGGCCGCGGTCGAGCTGGTAACAACCAGTCCCACGATGCGGGAAAGCGTGAGTTTATGATTCCTTCTTATTCAAACCAGTACCCACCATCCTCTACCTCCACCCCAGCTCCTTCTTCCGGGCTCCTGCCGCCTCTCTATGGTAATACACCTGGAGGGTACCAAGACATGGGCTCTAAGCAGAAGAAGAAGGGAAAGAAGCACAGACATGCTAACACTTCCTCCTCCGGGGGGAGTGGCTTAGTAGATCTTGCAGACCCGAGTATCTTGCAGGCGCGAATGCAGCACCAGTCTCAAGGCAGCGCCGGAGTCGGACAGGGCTTGTTTGGCGGTCAGAGTCAAGGTGGGTACAGTCACAACATGATGTATAATGCAGGCTATGGAAGGTGGTAGTTTTGATGTTTCTCGGAGTTGTTGCAGTCTAGGAGGGTGATGTTTGGTATCCTCTCATCGGTATCGGCTTTTTCTTCTTCATGCACAAAGGGGGGGCGTTCTTCGGAAATCAGGGTCAGGGCGAGAAAAGTTGCCTTTCATCTTCCTCGGGGGACACGAGTTTCAAGCGCATCTTGATTCAGCAGCATATGCGTGATTAATGCTGCTCTGGGAGGTCAGCTTTTGCATCAGGCGTCATCTATGTTTTATTGGGGAAAACGGAGGACGACGAGAGAACATCTCGAGTCTCCTTCCTCCGACTTTTACCGGTCTATGGAAGACCGCGCATGGGGGTTCACGTCAGGCAAGCCATCATCGTCTTCCACAAGCTCCCTATGTATGTTAACAAATGTCGAATTCATCCGCCTAGGTTTGGCGGTCTCCTTGGTCAGAAATAGCAATACCCTCTATTCTCTCCAAATCGCCTGTTCTTCTCGTTGTCCCCCGTGGAAGACGATGTTGGTCGCCGTAGCATGATCCTGTCCCCAAAGTCTTGTATATAAATGGGGTGTTGCTCTCGTAGCGTAGTCTTTGTGTTTTGCTTTACATTCAGACCGAGTGACTGAACCTATGCTAACAAGCGTTCAGATGATGAGCTCCTATCCCTAGACGAAGCTACGAATTCTGTCGACGCGTTAGTTTCTGACGATCCCATACTGCCGCCAATTGGTATGGAAGGTCGCACATCTGTGCCCCCGGGCTTGTCGTTACCCCCAGGACTGCCAGCCAACATATCGAGACCTCCATCTACTCAAGGTCATACAAAACTCACCAACATTGTGCCAGCGTTACCTAGAATGCCACCCCCTGGACTCTCACAAGGTTCTTTAACTCCTGACCAGTCGCCTGCAAAGCTAAAGCCAGCGATACCCGTCTCGGAAGCAAAGAAGAACATCAAGTCTCTGGCAGCCGAAAGCGGACTCTCACGGGAGATTACGACACAATCGCAACCGAACCTTACAAAGGCAAGTTTCTTACAGGATGAGGACTTTCCAGCTTTGGATGCATCGAAGAACAAGAGTCGACCCGCAACGCCTACACCCAAGGCTACGCCAAAGGCCAAACGTCATGCTGAGAGGATTGTGGACAGAATGATGGCCAAGGCCGGAGCCAGCCTAGAGAGCATGGCCCAGGAAACCAAAGCGGAGGAGGCCAAGGTTCAAGAGACCAAAGCTCAAGAAGCCAAGGCTCAGGAGACCAAGGCCCAGGAAGTGAAACCTGCATCATCGTCCCAGGCAGCAGACAAGAAGCCCATTACTGTCAACACTCAGGTTGGAAAGAATGTGGCTGTGAAGACCAGTGAACTATCTGCAACAACTGAGAAGTCAACAACAGAGACCTCGGCGGCCTTTCCTCCCTTGCCTACACCCTCGTCTACCGCAATTGCATCCCCTGTCACACGCACAGCACCAAAGACACTGCGTGTCATTGCAGCTCCCAAGGCCGAGGCACCTCCTCCTGCTTCTCCTGCCTTGACCATGGCATCGGTTGCGTTGTCAGGCACCTCCAGGGCTGTCTCTGGTAGTCACAGGCCAGATACACCTGTCAGTGAGATGATTAGTGACAACGCCTCGGTAGTGTCTGCCTCTGTGACCCATTCTCGGGCAAGCTCGCCGCCCCCCAGCAGGATTGGGTCTGCTGCGGTAAGAACCACAACCAAGAGTCAACAGCGAAAGCAACGAAAAGATGTTTTGAAGCAAGAAACAAAGTTGATCGCTGAGGCTCCCATAGCAGAGGCAGAGGTGCATGCTCCTATCATGGGACGGAAGAAGAAACAGAAGAAGGAAAAGCCGATTAAGACGGCCCAGCCTGATGCTTCTACTATCCCAGAGGCTCCCGCAGACGAGCCATCCCAGCCACCATCTCAACAAGAGCCCGTCAAGGAGCCCGAAAGAGAGCCAGAAGAGAAGCCTGTCAAGAGCAAGAATTCTCAAAAGAAGTCAATCAAATCCAAGGGCAAAACAAAGGAGGTCGAGACTCAACCGACTCCTCCTCCTCCAGCGTCCCCTAAGGAATCTACCCCTGATGCTCAAGAGCCACCTGCAAGACCACAGCCTGACCCGGCGTCGGTTTTTTCTGAGATTAAGAACACTCTCTGGGCTTCGAGTGTCGATAAACTCCAACTGTTTAAGCCCATCGCCAATGGCTCATCTCGCACCGACTACAGTGCTGCCAAGAACAACGCCAATAAGGCTGAGCATTGTAAGGACTGCTCTTGCAAATGTGGAGAAATTCAAGATGAGGATCTTGCAGCGCTGCGCGCAGGAAAGCCTGTCCGAAAGCAATTCCACGTTGATGGCAGCCGCATGCTCATTACCCCCAATGGTGACTGCATACGTGGTCTGACCCCTGAGGAAGAGGACGCTTTCCTGGAACTTCAAGCTGCCATTGCCAATGCGGCAGAGAACCCCGGATCGTTCATTGCCCCTAGACATCAGCCTGGTAGTGGAGCATTCTCTCTTATTAAGGGCCGAGCTGTTCCCAATGGACGTCCCAACATCTTCCCCGCCACTGCCCAGCTCCAGTCTCAAGACCCTATCGGAAAGCTTCAGCGAGAGGACGCGCTTAGCTACATCAACCAGTACGTTCTCCCTCGCCTCAACCTAGGTGCTACGAACATGGGATTTCCTAAGGGAGCATCACCTACTAAGGATGCGGCTGCTGCGAGTCTCAACTCTCTCGCACCCTACTTCTATGGCCCCGATGCTGCCGCCGGTGTGGGTATTTACAGCCCTCCTGATGGAGCACGGGCGATGCAGGACTTCAGCTCGGCTGGAATGTCGAGTGAAGAGCGTGGAAAGAACTTCGGCATGGGTGTCGGTGGTATGCCCCTGATGAGCGTCGAAGATGCAGAGGGTGCCCTTGCGGCTGCTCGACGAGAGACTGAGAAGTTGGAGAAGGGATTGAACCAGGTAATCAAGCGCAACAGACGACTTATTCTTGGAGGAAACAACTAAGAGACAAGAACGACACACCGCATTTTAACAACACGCTGTATTATGACCAGAGGAGTTGAGGACCTTCAATGGATGGCCCATTGAAGCTGTATGATGCAATGAAGCACAAATATCGCCACGGAACGGCGGATGGCTTTGTATGATAATCGATAGGATCAATGTTGGAATAGTGTAACTAGGAATCATAAGGATAAGAAGAATCGGCATAGAAAAAAGGAATTGCAGGTAGCCCAGTCCTGTACAGGGTGGTTTGTCAAACTAAAGAGCAACATATGAGAGCCATACGTGAATCTTTCTCAAAACCCATTTACAATCTTGATTCTGTCCTATTAATTAATCCATAGACAAGTACTAACGTGCGTATGCAAATATTTAAGAACCAGTAACCTATTTGGGTATCAAACATCTTCCTTCTTTGCATCTTTCTTCCTATGATATGTATCATCTGGCGACCGTCGACGATCAGCCCCAAGAGCTCTCCTTGCATCGGTAGTGACCTGTTTCTTCCCCTCAATAGACAAAGACTCTCGAAGTCGTTCAAGGAGTCTATCCAAAATCCACTCAGTCTCTTCTTGACTTCCCATAAGCGGACTCCGATTGCCGACCCACGACCAAGCCGTTGTATCATCAGAGACCACGTCCTTTTCAACACCTTCAGCAGTCTCATTCGTTTTCCTGCGACGAGGGTGGTGGTGATGATGATGCCGACTGTTTGGCTGCGCTTTTCCATGTGTCTCGGCATTGCTTTCATCCTCACCAATGAGCTTAAGATACCATGCCCACTGCTCAAAGGAGTATTTGTGTGGCTTTGATGACTTGAGGTGGTTCATGAGGACTTGGATTTCTGAAATGAGGAGAAAGTGGAGGTTTGTTCCCGTAGGTAACTCCTCATGGGCGTCTCGAAGGCGAGATAGAGAACGACGAACTCGAGCTGTGAAGGTTGAATTATTGCGGCTTTGGCCTGGTCGCGGATCTGCTGGGTCATCATCTTCTCCAGCTTCTGAGCGCCTCGGCCGTCCGCGGGCGTATTCGTCAAGCTTCTCCTCTTCCTTCTTGATCGTCGAGTCTGAAGTACCAGTGCTTGAATTCTTCGAAGCTGGTTTCTTGTCCTGGTTTAGGGGCGGCGGCTCTGTGTAATTAGCATACATCAGACCAAAGGTACATCTGTTGATGATGTATTTGAGATCGCTCTTGAAGTTGTCCTCTCCTGGGAGAATAGTGACATTTCCAAGACGAAGCGTTCCATCACGGATAAGTTTGACAACGGTGTCTCCAGCGTTTGAAATAAGGACTGTCATGGTAGGCAACGCAAGCAAAGACCAAAAGACGAAAAAGGACTTTCCAGCGTTCGAAATAGGAGTCACATCGCCGTATCCGATTGTTGTGAGACTGACGAAGCAGAAGTAGAAGCCATCAAAGTACTTCCACCCTTGATAGTCTTCTTCGCACTTAACAAAGATATAGGCGCCCAAGAGCCACAGAATAAGCCATACACCGGTCGAGATACCCATGGCGACCCAACGACGACGATATGATGTTTGAGCTTGGATCTTACGCATAAGATCGAATTCTGCCTTTCGACGCTCATATTCTGTCGCCGGTAGCTGATTGTTTGATTGTGCACCTTGGGAAACCATAGAGTCTTGTCGTCGTGGCTCTCGAATTGGCTCGAGTACCTCATCCTTGCCTTTCTTGGTCATGGTTCGGACAATACGTCGGCGTTTCTTCTCTTCCATTCTGGCATCGACTTGTTTTTTGCCTCGCTCGAGTACAAGACTGCGGATAGAACCGATGACCAAACCGAGGCTGATGACACCGACCAAAGCGTATGGCATCATGAGAGCTCGTCCGAGATTTGTTTGAGCTGTGAAATCACCAAACCCGACAGTAAATAGAGTTACATCTGCCCAGTATACGGTGTCGAGATAGTTCCAGTTTTCGATATTGGAAAACACAACGGCCCCGACTAGCAAGTACAAGAGAAACATGATGGTCTGCAACATGAGAGTCCGTTGGCTGGGCGTCAAGTTGAAGTCGTTGGGATAATGGCCAACCGATGCTCCATAGAAGGTTATCACCATGAGCGAAGCATCGACAAAGTAGAGAATGGCAGCCCAAATGCCGTAGTAAAAGGCCTGAGACCATATGAGCTCTTCTCTCGGGTGACCAAAGCCTTCATAAAGCGGCCCAGAGGCTGTAGCTAGAAGAGCGATGAGTAGAATAGCAGAGATGTACCATCCGATGATAGTGAGTGGCTGAGCGATAGTAAAGCGTACACGACGTGTCATGTTTAGTAGGAGGAAGATATTTGATATGATGGCCATGCCGAGCTGGATAGCGTTTATGACGGTGAGCCATATTGGATCAGCGACAAAAGCTGCTTCCTTGAGAGGCTCACTGGGAATGTAGTGCTGTCTCCATGGGCGTACGAGAGCGCAGATACTGAAGGCTGAAGCAACTGGACCGAGGGTGCCGGCAATCATGGGGAATGCTGAGGAAGCAAACCACCAGCGGCTGAACAGTCAGAGAATGTAGCATTTCGTGGTGAAGGTGAGGTGAAGCTTACTTTGGAGCCAGATGAGCATCATCGTTTCCTATGCGTCTGTCATGAGAGACAGACTCTTCAATAATGTCAGTCTCCTGTTGGATATTTTCTCCGAGATCCCCGTCGTCCATGAGGATATCTCAAGCCTATGGCGATCCGATATCAAGGATAGAGTCGATAACAAGGTAGCATATCCTAGATAAGATAATCTTACTGCAGTGTAAGTCAAGACTTATATATTTCTTGGCAAAAAGAAGGGATCCATATCGATTCAAGGAGGATATTCAAAGAAAGAATTCTTGGCGTGGGGATAAACATGCACATGCCCACTGGAATGACGTCGGGCGAGATCAGATCTTAAGTTAGAGGGAAACAAACGGGTTTTGATCACGAGCTAAACCAACTTTACGAGACTTGCATGGCCTGTCAGAGACAAGGGATATCATTCCTTGGGGGTTGAGTTGGTGGTGATCTAGCGGCTACAGCGGCTCAAATCAGGGGAATTAATACAGGATCTAGGAAAAGACGGCATCTGATTGCTTTAGTGTTTACTGAAGGTTTATCGATTCGATCATTGTTCCCAACGTTTGTGAGTTTGTTCGTGCAATTCACCTCCTCAACGATGAATGTTATTACCGGATCGTCATTTGTGGGGTGGGCATTGTCTGGCCAATGATATTACAGAATCATGCAACGTTCAAATTTCACTCCCTCCGAAACAAGCCCTTCCTCATCTCATGCATTATTCAAGGGTTCTTGATATTGGTCTTTTAACAGAACATCTTGAACTTCTCTTTAATTGGTGCTTCAACTTTGATTCCAGCCTCATGAAATTTGGCTTTTGTCAGTTGAATCGGTACATTAGCCGCGAAATAATCGACGTTTGAAACCACGCGTCTTCTCACCTTCACTCATTGCAGAGCGTGTAAGTCAAAAACAAACAGTTGTATCTCGACTTCCATTGACTAATCTTCTTGTTGAAGTTTTAGAACAAAAACAGTTATCACTTACCATATGGATTGGTAATGCTGTAGCAGCATGCGAAGATGCCTCCATTTCCAAGCCCTTCATCACGCCAGTCGTAATCGACTCGCCAATCCTCTCCATAGACCATGGCAGCGACTCTATAGCATCCGGAGCCATGACCGTGTTCAAGTCCGATGTGGTTCAGCTGGCCATGTGAGCATTGAGTAAGCCATCATCTCATACTCACAAACCCATTACTAATGCTTCATAATAGCCTCATCAACATTACCGAGCAGCCAGACTCTCCACTCTTCATTCAACTCCCAGCTTCACCCGTGGATGGTAATCAACCTCCTCATATCCCTGGATTTCTCCAAGGGAAGCCACTTGCCAGCATCAACTATCGTTGGAACTCCTTTGACGATGAGTCGAGCGAAACTATTCCAGTCGACGATGTCTGGCCAACGCCAATCCACGATACCTTCTTCGCCTATCAGTGGATAGTCGAAAATCTGGCTCCCGAAGGTCTCAAGAGGCGTGGTATCTATGTCTATGGCTCTCACCTAGGTGCAAGTCTTGCCTCATCTCTGGCACTCTCAGAATCACGACCGCACAAACCATTTGCGGTCCGGGGTCTGGTGGCATATAACGGAATCTACAATTGGACCATGTTTTTCCCGGACCACCCAGCAAATCGACCCGGAAAGCATGCAAACAACAGAACCAACTACTTCAAGCCTCGAGAGGGAACATACGTGCATTACCTTCAGCAGAACCTACCGATATTCTTCCAGTCAACGGTCGACATGTTCGATGTCTTCGCCAGCCCAAGCCTCTTCTTCCACAACCCAGGAATAAAAGTTCCCTCATCTTACCACATGTCGGAAGAAGAGTCTGCAGCCATCGAAGTCCTGACCAACCCGAATGCTGAGTTCGATATGAAAGAAAAGACACCACGTATGTCAAGGCTGGTGTTTCCGCCCCGCAAATCGACGCTCAAGATTCCCGAGACACTTCTGCTGTACGACACACACCCTGTGCCGACAGCGACGAACAGACCGGGTCGGCCATTTAGTGGGAAACAGTGGGGAAACAGCTTAGAGCTGCAAGCGCGCGAACTGGGTGAGATGATGCAGCGAAGTATCCAGATGGTCGAGATGAAGGAGAGAGGACTCTGGGATGCGGATGTTTCGATGTGGGAGAATGAGCCACGGCGAAGGGTAAAGATGGAACATGCTGGGGAAGAGTCGGAGGATATGGTGATGGATGAAAAGGGAGAGAAGGTCGTAGAAGAGTGGTTAACAGAGAGATTATCACCATAGAATCGATCTCATGATCATGTAGCAATAGCCATGCACAGTACATGCAGCAATAGTTCGAATGTTGATAAAGGGTTGACCTATTTTGGGGTAGCACAGCGCTAAAGCAGCGACGGAGCATTGAGAAAGCTTGTCTGGTGGGGTAATATGCGATTGGATCCCTTTGATATCGAGACGCATCTCTTTTTGTCGTTCGAGTCTAGAACGAGCGGCTGAAGCACTTTATCAGCCAAGTTTGAGAAGCTGACTCGAGGGGATGTACCAGCAGGTACTTGATTAACAAGGAAGCACAGTCAATCATGACAGTATAAGAACGACTTCGCCAGCTTGAGAGGTACTTGTCACTGATAGTGATTGACGAAATGATGAGTGGACCAGCGGCTAATCAATGCACGCTGTCGTCAGGGCGGTCTCGTTTTCAATATTAGCGTCCCAGGGTCACAAGGCCTGACATGTCTCTTCTTCTGGACCCTTGACATTTCCCTACAGTGTCAGTTTCATCTCTGATAAAATTCCACAAGAGAAAACACAGAATCAACAAGAATGCAAGATTATAAGGATTACACGTATGTCTCGACTCTCCCCTTCGTAATTCACTCCTCCAAGTACCAGGGTAATCTGCCGATAATCAAGATCAAGTTATTATTGCCTACCCCGTAACTAAAGGTAAGGTACCTGCTAAATTATCCGGTGGATCCTCTGTTACCACCCCTGGAAATGCTTGTTTTTCAGTGGCTGCCTCAGATTCCAGTCCCAGTTCCAGTTGGAATCCTTGGAAGCGCAAGGATGCTTCAGTTGAGATTAGGTTGGATTGCATCCAATGTCACCCACTACCGTTACCGCTGCCTCTGTCTCTGGCTGATACTGGACTGTACCTGTACTGTCATGTACAGTACATGACTTACGAACTGGCCATGGCTGAGCAGTTTCATCTCCCGTCTGCCCACCTCTATTCTTATCCTTATCCTTAACCTTCCTTCTCCTTCTAGATACCTTTCTACCCTTTGTCTTGACAAGACATACATCACTTTCCCAAGCTCCATCTGGTACGTTTTCTCTCGATTCCTGCTTCGCGTGGACTTTATCGTCCTGGTCTGTCTCAGTCAACTTCAGACGTGCAAATCCAATAGCTTCGCCAGCTCAAGGAAGCATAAGCGATAGAATCAAGCTGACCATCACTTACCATCAGAAATCCTATATCAAACACCATGCCTGGAATTCGTATGTCACAACCCGACAGCGTCCTCAGAAGCGACTCTAACAAGCCCCTCAACAGCTCTGCACGCCCTTGACAACCTCAAGGCCAAGCTCAAGGCCGCCTTCAAGAAGAAGGATAACAAGGAGGAAGCCAAACCCGCCGACCCCAAGCCTACCGAGACAAAGCCTGCCGATACCACAGCTGCCACCGAGCCTACCAAGGCCGAGGCTGCTCCTCCTGCTCCCGCCAGTACGTTTCTGCCTATGCGATCTATTGAATACCCCGTTACTGACTGTCGTGTGCCACAGCTGAGCCAGCTCCTGCAGCTGAACCCGCAGCCCCTGCTGCCGAACCAGCTAAGGAGGAGGCCAAACCCGCAACTGAGGTCAAGCCTGAGGCTCCCGCTGCTGCTGCTGAGCCAGCCAAGACCGAGGAGCCAGTTGCTGGTATGTCGCAATGTACACGATATCCATGATCAAGAACTAGAACTAATGATTGAAGCTCCTGCAACTGAACCCGCCAAGCCCGACGCTGCTCCGGCCACCGAAGCTCCCGCTCCCGCTCCCGAGCCTGCCAAGACCGAGCCCGCCCCGGCTGCTGCCCCTGCTGCCGCAACTGCTCCTGTCGCCGAGACTCCAGCTCCCGCCCCCGCTGCTCCTGAGACTACACCTGCTGCTCCCGCTGAGGCTCCTAAGGAGGAAGACAAGAAGGATACTCCTCCCGCTCCCGCTCCTGCCCCTGTGGCCTCTGCTTAAGTGCGACTCGAACAAGGTTCCCTTCTCTCGAGGTAAGATCTCGATGAGAACACCTTGATCGATTAGAGTACCAAGAATGTGCATTCGTGATTGTCTTAGAGGCATGAGTCTTTTAGTTGCATGACAGGTTCGCTGTCCATGTCTGTTAGCTTTTCTCCTAGCAGTTGGCTGGATACCCAGAGAGAAAAGTGTCGCGATGCTTTGTTTTAAATATATACCCGCTTTCTATATCCTAGATACTTCCCTCGCTCCAATTTCAGATTGTGCTTTTATAGGATTAGACTGCAATTTGAGGGGATTGTGATGAGATATCAGATGTTTTCCACAGTCTAAACTCATGATCGTATGAGATGCATGGTTGGAATCTCATGGAATTCTATAGGATCGAATGCGCAAATCAATATCTATGTCCAATCCTTGACTCCCTAATATGCTAAAATCTCCAGATGCTGGTATATGTATCCCCTATGAATCTCTAGCCCACGGTGCTTTGGTAACAGTGATTTGTGCACTCGTAGATTCACTCGTAGGCGCAGCGCCTCGAGGTGGTCTAGCAAGTGACCCTGAACTGGGTCCTGGTGGTGGCATCCGAGTATAGGGAATGCCAGCTACTGGTGGAACTGGCATTCTGGCAGCTTGAGCCCATGGTGCAGCTGTTCCGGGCCCTGAAGGTACTGGGCCTGCTGTGGCTGGCTGGTTCGCCATATGGACGCTTTGTGTCGGAGTTGCAGCATCTGGATCAACATCCCAAGAGAAGAGGGAACCGAATGGGAAGTGCTGGACAACGGGGAACTTTGACAGCACTTCAGCGTTGAACATCTTGATCATACCCTTGTTGATCTTGCCCCAGCCGTCTCGAATACCGGAGATATCAAAGAGAATAGGACTGTGTTCCCAAAATGGGCCCTTCTTAACATCGTTGATGAAGCCAATGGCAGAAAAGTACATGTTGACCTGTCGCTGGTCCTCCACAACAGCGGCTTTGGTAACGTCGCTAGGCTTCGGCGCACCTTTGACAGATCCCTCCAAAGGCATCGGCTCGTCATCGTTTATGGGTCGTGTAAGTTGCGCGGAGCCGAATACGTATGGCATGAAGGAATGATCGTCGAGGCCCCAGACGCCGTGGGAACCAGCGGGTTCGAGAGTGTAGGTTAGGATGAGTTTTCTCACCACGTTGAGATATCTAACAGTGTTAGCGGTATCCATCCAGCATATGTGAAGGTAACCTACGGCTCGATAACCTTGAGGACGATCTCGCGCTCGATCTCGCCTCCTTGCTGTCCATCCTTGAAGTAACCCAGCTTCCATAGACACCCAAGAAACGCTATAAAGCTGAGCTCATGCCCAGTTCCATAGTCTAATCTTTGAACGCTGCCGAAACCACCAAGTAGGTAGCTAGAGACTTCCACTTTCGCCTTTCCATCGCCAATCTTGAGTGTTTCACCTAGAAGCCCTTCTCCCAACAGCTCGTCCAAATGCTCCTCAAAGATAGCATACCACTTTCGAAAGCTGACATTTCCAAATCGTCGAGGACCGGGGTCAGGCGGTGCTTGGTCGATGAAGTTCTCGACCTTTGCCAAAAGGTTCTGTAGAGCTTGGACGGACGGCGACGTCGGCGGTTTCGAATTGAGGGGAAAGGTGCGGGGGAGGGGTGACGGTGTTTGGTTTCGAGGACATAAGGCGTGGTTAAGCTGGAGGATGAAGATTCCGATATCGCGGTAGGCGAGGCTGGTGAGGAAGCGTGCGACGTCGGAGCCTTCGTTGATGCGCTTCGAGGGCTTGGTGAATGCTGGTGGGGAGCTGAGGTCCAAGATCTCGAGAGTCTGGTGTTTTGGAGGGGTTGCGGACGTCATGTTGACGGCGGCTCAAATCCTTGGGTACAGCGCTGAGGATTTCTTGACTATAAAACAAAAATGGAGTGTTGTTTGGGAGGATCGGGGGAGTTTTACGGTGCAAGAATAATAAGTGGGCGTTGGTGCTTGGTTGAAGCTGAGCTGGTTCTGTTGGATGGTTGGAGATAATTTAGTAATCTATTTTCATGCTCGATAACCATGAAACTCCAAACACATATGCCTACCTTAGCTTGAGGAACCATGAGTTCGCTTAGTTATAGACAATTACTTTTATCATTCTAGTAGTTCCTACGAGTTCCAGTCTCAGCATTCAAAAATATGCCTGATCTTGGTTCATCGGCTTCGCATGGCCTCATGGAAATTCTTGATAAGATATGCATACATGGATCATGATAATGTTTGCGACTGGCTGCTTTGAAGATATCCTACAGATATGCAACCACTTCACAGATAGAAACGTAGTTTCAAGATCCCAGGCCATCAAGCTACATAGTATCTATTTGATGTTTCAAGAATCAAGGTCGCATGAAACTTATATTCTTACCGGCTCCCGACAATTATGTCATTTGTCATGTCGCATGGGAGCTCCCAGTCCTAGCTTTAAGCTCCCGTTCTTAAGCTTCCCTCGCCCCACATCCTCTTCCCAACCCTCAATGCGCCTGCTTTGAGCGCCGCTGTTCACCACTTCAACTCAATCTTGAAGCTCTCAGCTTGCCTCAAACTTACCTCTACAGCTAAGGAGCTGAAACGAAAAATTCTCGTTGAATTTTCGACGTCTCCCAACCGCGATTACATCGATATCTGTGGACGCGCTGCCTTGGCGCGCGATAACACAACACAATAACAAAACCTCGAGATGGTGGTACAGCTGCGGTCCAGGGGTAAGGTCGGTGGATCATCAGCTGAGCCTGAAGCGACAAGAAAACCGCGAAAACGTACTGGAAGACAGCAGTCAGAGAGACCTTCCGCGCTTAGGCCAAGCATTGAGGTACAGATCAGTGCATCAGGGTCGAACTCAAGTCGACAGTCAACCATTCATGCAATTCCGCAAGACCAGCCCTCTACCAGCCGAAGCCGGGTGACGAGATCGAAAAGAGCCAATACTCCCCATGAAAAACTACCCTCGCCCACTCCGAGGAAACGTCGCGCTACGAACGCAAGTTCGAAAGACCAACCCGCCAAGCGCCAGCATCGTTCTCGTCGCAAAGCTGCGCTGGAAAATGCTGAGGAGGATGAACAACCTCAGCTGAACCAGGAACACGAAGAGGCCTCAGAAGCGGAGGAAAACGCCTTGCCGGAGCACCCGGACTTTATGAATATCATCAATTCGAACATCCTAGGTATCAACAGTTCTCGCAACGAGCTACCCATCAATGGCGAACTACACCCGGAGAGAGCTGGTAGGAGGATTTCTGAGGCAGAAGTTCCTCAGATTGCAGACTCGGACGAAAATATCGCCTTGGACGACATACCACAGGAGCAGGAACTAGGCAACGCTGGAAATAACCAAGCTTCAACTACAAGTCCTGAGCAACCAGAAGCACCGCATGAAGAACTTCCAGTATCTGAGCAGGATGCCCCTCAAGCGACGCAAGTAATGTCACAATTTGATACATCTTCTCGAAGGCAATCGTTACGACGAAAGCGTAGACGGCAGAGCCAGAAGCCGACTTATGACGCACCTGGTTATAATGCAAGGGGCGTGTCCCCAGATCTTGGTTCAGCAGTTCCTCAAGCGCCAGCCACAGAGGCATCAGCGTCACAACAAGTCCACGCTGGGGGTGATATCTATAACGTTCCGTCCGATGGAGAGCAACCAAGTCAGCCGATAGTGTTAAGAGGGGAGAAGGAGACCCACGGCACGCATGCTGAACATAGACGGAAAACTAAGCAGGGCAAACGACAAAGAAGTCAAACTGAGCAACAAAATGATCAAGCACCATCACAGGCCGAGAAAGAGCAAGAAGAAGGGAGAAATGAAGAGAGTGCCCGAAAGAAAGATAAGAATGGAGATCAAGATGGGGAATATGCGGATGAAGGTCAAGACTCCGACAATGATGAGCCGGCAGCAGAACAAGAGCTTGATACATCGGATCTGGTTGAAGATTCGTTGCTGCTCGACGAACCACCAAGTGGTTTGCAAACAGCGCACCTAATTCCTACCGCCTGGATTAAACGAGATACAGTACAGAAACTCGTTTGGACCACGACTTATTCAGGGTGGATGAATGGAAGAAAGTGGAAGAAGGATGCTCTCGAGCTCGCAAAAACAGCTTCTGAAGCATTGAAAGAGGACGAACGTGTGCGATCGAGGCTTATCTTGGCTAAACTTTACGATCTCTACGAACTTTGCAAGGAGATCCCGTCATCATCGATATCACAGCAGCTGGAATATATTCGCGAGCACACAGCCCAGCTCAACAGTTTATACACCACACTTCGCGTGACTATTGACGAGTTCATTTCATCCATCAACACGATAATGGAGCAGGGCGACGCGAAGCAAGTGAGCAAGGGCTATCAATACGTGACAAAGTTGCACAGACGCATCATTCCTATGCTGGTTCTGGTATTAGATCAATCTTTCCAGGCTGGATGCGGAAGACCTGGTGAAAGTGCCAAAAAGCTAGGCTTTCAAAAAGGAGAATTTACAGTGTACACACTAGAGCCACTGGAGAGGGCTGCAGGCTGGGCCCTGAGACTCTCCCAGGTTGTGGAAAGCTGGTACGAGCTTCATCCTCCCAGAAGAGAACGTGATCAAGGCGAAGAGGCTAAGGAGCATCGGGGAATCTTCAGGGAAGCCACAAAGCAGCTAAAGAAATCGCTCGAGAAGGCCAGAGAAAGCATTGGTGCTATTAAGAGAGCACCGAACCAACGAAGGAAAGTTATGCAGAAGGATGAAGCTGTTCGAATGGAACGCGAGGCTGATGCGCAGCGGCGCAGAAACATCCAAGATATGCAGATGCAGCGTTTTCTACAGTCGATGCAGAAGATTGAATCATCTCAACCGCGTCCGCCCACGATAGGCTCATACCGGCAGGCAGTGCGCAGCTACCAGTCCGCGACTAGTCGGTCACGCTTAATCAGATCGCAAGAGCCGTCGGATGTTGAATATTTCGAGAAGCATGGCTGGCACTACTGGGAAGATGATCATCTCTTAAGCTTGATCCGAACCACATCCCACCCGAACTATGAGATCTTTGGCCGGGTGCTTCCTGATCGAGATCCCGATGAGCTGAAAGAGCGGTCAAATTATTTGAGGATGGTTATGCGCGACAAGTATGAGCGAAAGGGTATTCAACCGCCCGGGTGGTGTGTTGCTGAAGATTGAGACTAAGGTCAGGAGCTATTGGAGTTGGGAGCATTTGCTTTTACGATACCCTGAACAATGCGAGGTACGTCTCTTGGAATTCAAGCGAACTGCGTATGATTAATGAAAGAACGGTTACGAGTGTGCATCGTTATGGCAAAATGTATTATTACCCAACGTACTACAGAACTCGCATCGATGGCGAATCAGTCATGATGAACTCATCGAGGCTCTCTTTGATGACATCAGGATCCAAAGAAAGCTGGTATTGATTGTCAGCAGTTGAGTTGGTGTACGGATAACGTTTCATGTCTTCCATGGACGCCTGAGGTTCTGCCAACGGCGTAATGCCACATCATTGACGTCCAAGGTAGCATTATCTGTCTATCACATTGACACATTCGGCGCATCAAGAACAAAGCATCCGTGATTCCGCCAGCACATACACACTTGGGCTCCCTGCAATGGTGTGGTGATTTAGACACTTGGCCTGTATCAGCCTGGACATATTGCATTGATCTTTGGCTTCTTGTATGATTGATCACAGACTTTGGAATTGGTTGAAGCGCCTTTAACGCCACATGTGATGGTGAAGGGACCACGCTATTGCCCGAGTAAGAAAAGCGGCGAATCAGGTCTAGGTCGTTTGGGGTAATAAGTCAACAGATCAGGATTTATTTTGGTCATCTTCACGCGTTTTCCACGCGCCGTGGGAGATTTGATAGATCCAGCCACGAGCATGGATTTCGCCCTTTGACCCTTTGTCTTTGGGCTCTTAATTGGCCTGAACCAAGAGAATATGAGGTTTAGGATAAAGTAGCTCATAGATCTTCAGGCTTCTGAAAGCTACCCAGGTCGTGGCTTGCATTAATTGCCGTGCATTGCATATAGTGCCTTACTTAGGTCGATACAGCGGGTCGTCGCATGCAGAACCAGATGTTGCCCAATGTCTAGGGCTTCTTTGGGGTATCTCAGTGGCCAGACTGATCTTTGCCTTAAAGAATGGTCCAGTGTTTCTGGCCCAAGACATTGAATGGCAGTCTAATGTCCGCCCAGTAGCGAAAGCCATCAGTCATTGGATCTTGAACCAGGAACCAAAGCCACCCGCGTAGCCCAAAGACCCCTGATTCAAAGCGACAGTGGACGACGAGCCCCGCCCCCCCTGGAACGGTCGCTACAGTCCAACCGCTGGGGACCATCAGGGCCCTGAGAGAAAAAGCAATGTTAGTGGCCGGTGAAACCCCACTTTTACCACTGGGTGTGGAAATGGGAAGAACAGCTCAGGATATGGATCACAAGGTGATAGACCAAGAGGTACGTATCCATCCGCAATCTAATATCCCGTCCCATCGACAAGACAGCTCAGCTTTCTCTCTTCCCTTTCCAATTTTATCTCCTCTCCCTCTAACAAGAAGCTTGCGAACATCGTCAGTGCAGGAGTCATTCTAGACTTCTCTAACTGCTTCATTGCATTGCTTCTTTCTTTCGTTCCTTAATTCTATCTGTCTTATACTCCACCGTTGTAAACGGTTTTCTAGCTGCCAGCGAAGCGCGGTTTTGCTGGATAAAAAGGAGTCCAACTCAAGGTGAGATTAACCAATTCCTAGCGGCTGATACCTACATACCCTTGACAAGAGCTTATGGCTCGTGCTGTTTTCTCCCCTGGCATCTCTTGATTATCCTGGGATGACAGGCGAGCTTGCTTGTTGAACGACTGACTTAAAAAGTCCCGTGCGACATCCATATATAACCTACCACGGGTACACTTCTCTTTACTTTTCTCTTTGCTAATATTTGCTTTTCTTATAGAACTTTATTTTTAATTGCCCTTTCGACCCCGCAAACATGTCTGAATCCGAGAGCTTTGATGTTGTTCAGCACGAGGAAGCTGTCGCTTCTCAGTCTGATGCTGCTGCCACTGAGCCCGAGAGCCCTCAGGCAACCGCTCCTGCGTCCCCCGAGACTCCCAAGGAGAAGGCAAAGGAGAATGGAGAGCCAAAGCCAGCTTTGAAGAAGCCTACTACAACCTCCACGACGGGTACCCGTCGACCTGGCTCTACTTCGACCACGGCCAAGCCTGCTGCGACTAGCACTCGTGCGCCTGGCGGTCTGAGCAAGCCCCCAACCCGACCTCCTGCCTCGACTGTTCGCCGTCCTGCGACATCGACTTCTAGCGCGAGCCACCGAAGCCGACCTAGTATGAGCGCCAGCGAAGATGACAAGAAGTCGACCACCTCCACCACTTCTTCTGCTCGTAGAACAAGCTCTATTGTGTCTAGCCCGGGCAAGACTGCTGAGAGGAGGACCGTTGGTACTACAAGTTCGACAACTGCTACCCGACGACCTGCGTCGACATCCACCGCGGCCCCACGAACTTCTACTACCCGAACGGCAGCTACCCCTAGCACTACCGCGACACGAACGGCCGCCACTCGATCAACAGCTGCAACACCCACCGCCAGCAAGCGTCTCTCTACTTCGGGCTCCTTGACTGCTGCTTCCCGAACTGCAACTCGACCCGCTGCTGCTTCTGCGGAATCTGCCAAGGAAATCGAGGCCCTCAAGGCCAAGCTGGCGGAGGGTGAGAGCGAGATCGAAGCTCTTAAGACTGAGGTGAAGAGCTCAGAGGAGAAGATCGCTGAGCTCACTGAGAAGATTGGTAAGGAGGCAACCCTTGCCGAGACCGACGCGAAGCCCAGTGAAGACAACGACGAAGCAATTGCCACTCTCAAGTCTGAGCACGAGTCTGCAATTGCTGCTCTCGAGAGCCAGGTTTCTGAGGCGAATGAGAAGTTGCATGCTGCAGAGAGCGATCTTGAGAAGCTTCGAGCTGACCTCGATGCTGCGGTTAGCGCCAAGGAAGCAAGTGAGACTGAGCTTGACTCATTGAAGAAGCAGCTCGAGGCTGCTCAGGCTGAGAATGAGGAGAAACTCAACTCTAGTCAGGAGGCACTCCAGAAAGCCATTGAGGAGAACGCATCCAAGATCGAGGAGCTGAAGGCTGCCCTCGAGGCTGAGAAGGCATCTGCTATCGAGGCTCTGGAAGCAAAGCACAAAGAGGATCTTGAGAAGGGCCAGACTGACGCTTCCTCTCACGAGACTGCTTTAGCTGAGCTCAAGGCTTCTCATGAGGCTGCGGCCGCTGAGTTGCAAAAGAAGATCGACGAATTAACCTCTTCGCAGTCAGCCCTCGAATCCGCTAACGACGACAAGCTCAAATCTGAGCAGGAGGAGCACAGCTCTAAGATTTCTGCTCTTGAGGCTGATGCCGCGGAGGCTAAGGCGAAGCTGGAGGCTGCTGAGAAGGATGCCGAGGCAGCCAAGTCTGAGATTGAGTCTCTCAATGGCGAGATTACCAAGCTTCAGTCCAGCTTGTCCGAGAAGGAAACTGAGCTCGAGGCTGCTAAGCAAGATCTTGCTAAGGCTCAAGAAGAGGCTGCATCCCTGAAGGCTGCTGCCGAGGAGGCTCAAAAGTCTCTTGCTGAGAAGGAAGACGAAATTGCCAAGGTCAAGGAGATGCACGAAGAGCGCATGAAAAGCATTTCTCAGGATTACGAGACCGAAATCGAGTCTCTTCGAGGAGACGCCTTCTTCAAGCGCAAGTACGAGGAGCTTGAAACCCAGCACAACGAGCTCCAGACCTCCTCTTCAGAGGCTGCTGAAGGCCACAGCAAGGCTCTTGAAGCTGCCAAGGCTGAACATGCTGCTGCCGTTGCTGCTTTGGAAGAGAAGGAGGCCGAGCACCAGAAGAATCTCGATGCGCTCCGTGCCAGCCACGCTGAGGAGCTCGAGTCTGCAAAGAACTCTGCCTCGGGTGACCACGATGCTCACATTGCCGAGCTCGATTCTCTTAAGGAGAACCATGCTAAGCAGTTGGAAGTGATCAAGAACGAAGGTGCCTCTACCCATGCTGGGGAGCTTGAGTCGATCAAGGCTGCTCATGCTAGTGTTCTAGACGCTCTAAAGAAGGAGCACGACGAGGAGAAAGAGAAACTCGTTGCCGGTCACAAGAGCGAATTGGCCTCTGTCAAGGATGCAAGTGAAACTACTCATGCTACTGAGATCGCTAGGCTTATGTCGGAGCTTGACAGTGCTAGAGAGTCTGGCGAGACTGCTCATGCTACTGAACTTGAGTCTCTGAAAGCCAAGCTTGAGGCTGAGAAGGATGCTAGCGATAAGGAGCATGCTGAGGCTTTGGCCAAGGCTCAAGAAGGCATTGAGGCTGCCAAGAATGCTGGCGATGAAGCCCATGCTGCTGAAATCGCCAAACTCAAGGCTGACCTTGAAGCTGCCAGAGATGCCGCCAAGAAGTCATTGGAGGCTGAGTTGGAGGCCTTGAGGGTGGAACTTGAAGAAACCAAGAAGGCCGGCGAAAGCAAGCACGCTGAAGAACTGGCCAGTCTTAGGGCTGAGCTTGAGACCGCCAAGGAGGAGGTCGAGAAAGCACGCGAGTCCAACTCACAAGCTATTGAGATGGCCCGATACGAGCTTGAGAAGAACCATGCCGATGAGGTTGAGAAGCTTCTCGAATTTAACGGCGAGGTCATTGAGCGCATGAAGAGGGAAGGCGGCGATGCCAAGAAGGAACTGGAGGAGATGACTCTGGTGCATACCAAGACTATCGAGGATATGATGGCTGAGCACAGGAGCAACAACAGCCACCTGGAGGACAAGCTTGCTCAACAAGCTGCTTCCAACGCTGAACTTGAGGCTTCTCTGAAGGCTGCTCAAGAATCTCTTGCCAAGGCTCAGCAGGAAGTTGAGGACCTTTCTCAGCGGCTTGCTCAGGAGAAAACCGAGCGATTCACTGCTCTTGCTGAGCTCGAGGAGGCCAAGAACACCAAGCCTGACACTTCCGAGGCTGATGCCCTCAAGCGAGAGCTTGCTACAACCAAGAAGTTCCACGAGGATGTCATGCATAGCCTTGATCTCGAACTCAAGGGAACACAAAATATGCTTGAGGAGCGAAGAAACGAGGTAGTTGCCAGCCAAAAGCAGGTTGCATCTCTGACCGAGGACCTTGCCCTGGTCAAGAAGGAACTCGAGGCCTTCAAGGCCCAGGCCGACGCGAGCAAGAAGACTGCCAGCGCTGATTACCAAGACCTGAACGATAGCATGACTGCTCTTGTTGAGGAGGCCACAACCAAGGCCAAGGACCTCCAAGCCAAGCTGGATGAAACTGTGGCCAAGGTCGAGGACAGTGAGAAGAAGATTGAGGTATTGGAAGCCCAGCTCAAGGTCAAGGATGCCGAGATTGCAGAGGCAAAGGTACGCATGGATTGAGAAACTCTTAAAGCTATCTTAACTAATATGTGAATAGGCCAATGCTGCCGTTGCCAAGCCCAAAGGTCTCTCGGCCAGCAGATTTGCCAACGCAGATGATGGCGACAACGCTGCTGCGAACGAAGATGCAGCGGAAGGTGAGGAGATTGACGACCATTCCTCAGCAGCACTTGCTTCGGTGCGAAAAGCCCCTGCATGATGCACCCGCACGAGATCCAATGTGCCATGCGGTCTTTTTGGTCAGTTCAGGGCTAACATCTGGATTGTAGATAAGTAAGGCGAGACTCACAGCCAAGCAAATGGATACCCTCGATAGGGAAATGAGGGATCGCAACTTGCTGTAAGTACATGGGACTCTACGATCTAGACCACGAGGCTGACAACCTACCAGGATATTGAAGTCTATCACGGATGTCAAGTCGCCAAAGCTGGGTGGTGAACATCACTACGAGCAACAGCAATTCGAGCAGTCGCAGTTCAGTTAAAGGAGACATGACAAACGACGAATTTTCTATTCCGCTTCTATGGCCACTTTACAATTTAGTTCTCTGTAATACCCGCGGCCTGTCTGCAGAGCTGCAATTTTGCTTATTGCTTTTATTACATACACAACATTATGGGCAAGAGTCACAGGATATGTGAGATGGGAGGAAGATGGAGATGGAGGTGTTTAGACCGTCCTT